TTTAATTTTTTTTCTACAAGGTTGTTCTATTTTCATGACTTAGGTTGTGGGTTTAAAAGACTAACTCAAGTTGCCTTAGTTTTTTTATCTTTTTAAAAATTGATTTTTTTTCAATTTTATCTTTCAACATCAGGTTCATTAGGAACTAAGCTTCAATTTCTTTTCATTTTGTTTTATATAGGGTAATCTATTTCTCATTAGTTCATATATTTGGTGATTTAATTCAGTTGACTTTGGCTATTTTTTATTCTTTTTTAGAATTATTTTTTTATTTATTGATGTTTTTTCAATTTCATCCTTCAAAGTTGAATGGATTGGGAATTAGTTTTTATATTTTTTTTTATGGGGTTATAATGTTCTCATGACGTAGATTGTTGTTTTGATAAGTTCACTTGAGTTAACTCAAGTTATTATTTTTAGTTGAATACTTTTTATATCATATTCTTCTTTTAATATTAAGTATATTAGGAATTGAGATTCATAATTTTTTAGTTTTGCTTTTCAAGCATTATCATGATTTAATGACTTAAGTCATAAATTTTGTAGGTTGATTAGGGTTGGTCTAGGTCAATCCAATATGTTGTTATTTAAATATTTTTTTTTAAAAGAATATGTTGTTCATTATTTAAAAAATGTATCATCTAATATGCAACATTTGTTTTTGTTCATGATTAATTTTTTTCTTACTAAACAACACGTTAGCAATTACTTTACAATTTTTTTATGTTTTAAAAAAATTGATATGACCTGAGACAAAGCGTGGGCAAAACATCTAGCAAGAAATGCTAAAAAAAAAATGTAAAAACTGCTTATTTTACTTTGATGAGTTTCTTAAGTTAGCAACTCTTTTTTAATCATTGAAAAATTATTCAATTTTGGTCATTACACTTTTTTTAATTTTCACCTTTCCAAGTCATATTCATATGATTTTAGTTTTGATAATTAGTTTTGTTCCACGTGCTACATTGTATTCATGATGTTAGAAAATGTCTCGGTATTAGATTAATGTTTAATTTTATAAAATAAAATTTGATTTTACAATAAAGAAATTGACACAAAAAAAAACCCAAATATAACATGAAAACAAAAGAATATTTGTATTATCTTCTCACTGTTTATGGCATGAAAAACTACCATTTGGTTCTTGAAGTTTTTACTTTATCATTTAGTCCATGTTTTTTTAAGAATTTTATATTTCAATCCTAAACTTTATTTATTTTATTTTTTAATTTCTAAAATTTAAGAGGATATAAAATCAATAAAAAATCATCAGAGAGATAAAGAATTCAATCAACCATAATCTAGCCATTATAAAGGCATGCTTTTATGTTAATGGATTCGTCTTGGAGAAAAGAGCTTAATGAAGGTTGTATATCTTTTAAACATGTTGTAATAATTAGATTGAGATATATAATATTTTTTTGACTTAGATGGATTTTTACTATTTAGAGTTGTTATAGGCTTTGGTTTCAAATGGGCTTATTGATGTTTCTAATATATGTTTTAGGGTGTTTTAAGATGAAAATAAGTTAAAATTAAATTTTAGGTATCAAAACTAATATTTCAACTTTTCAACCATCAAACATGGATGGAAAGATAACTAGAAGATGATGAGTAATTTGTTTAAATAAATGATATATTGTCTCATATATACAAAAACTTTGGGTGGATGACGTGTCAACGTTCATTAGAAAAAAAATAAAAAAAAAGGTAGGCATGTGGACTAAAAATAAAAAAAAGGTAGGCATGTGGACTTAGTGACACGATCAAAAGATTGATGTCTTCTTCCAAGTGTAAGAGTGTCGAAATAATAAATAACCCGGTCAAATTAGGATCGTACCATAGGGAGGTTAACTGTATAAATTATAAATTACAATAATACAACAACAACAATAACAACAATAATAGTAACAATAATAATAATAATAAAGAAGTTGATGAGAACTTTGAGATAGAAGATTAACGTAAGGATTAAACAATGATAACAACAAATATTAAGGTTAGAGGATCCACATACAAGTATAGTATAAACTTTTATTATTCAATTAGAAACCACATACAAAGGAGGTTCCAATCAAATTATTAATTGTTAATATGATTACATTAGTTATTTTATTCGATTAATGCTAATACTTGTAAATATTGTTAGGCATTTATGATTATAACTCATATTAACAACAAATCAAGTTCCTTTCATAGCTCAGGTGTCTATTATACCATACAGTA